TCCCTCTAAACCCTTCCTATTAATATACCCATCCAAATAATGTTAAATGTTGTAATTAAACCAGCCCCCAATACTTCCTCTGGCAGCTCATTACATACACGCAACACCCTCTGCATGAAGTTGCCCCTGAGATCCCTTTTAAAATCTTTCTCCCTCACCTTAAATCTATGCCTTCTAGTTTTGGACTCCCCTACCCTGGGAAAAAGATCAAGGCTATTCACCCTATCCATGTCCCTCATGATTTTAAAAACTCCTATAAGGTCATCCTTCAAGACTCCAGGGAAAATAGCCCCAGCCTATTCAGCCTCGCCCTATAGCTCAAACCCATCAACCCTGGCAACATCCTTGTAGGTCTTTTCTGCCTTATTTCAAATTTCACAACATTCTTCCTACAGAAGGGAGACCAGAATTGAATGCAAAATTCCACAAGTCCTGTGCAGCGGCAATGTGACCTCCAAACTCCTATACTCAATGCACTGACCAATAAAGACAAACACACCAAACGTCTGCTTCACTATCCTGTCTACCTGTGACTCTACTTTCAAGGAACTGTGAACTTGCACTCTAAGATTGCTGTGTTCATCAACATTCCTCAGAACCTTACCATTAAGGTGCAAAAACCATGCCCTAATTTGTCCTACCAAAATGTAGCATCTCACATTTATCTAAAATTAAACTCCAGTTGAACTGTGATGTAATCTTCTTGGTGTCCACTACACCAATTTTGGTGTAATCTGCAAATTTACTAACCCTATCTCTTACATTTACATCCAAATCATTTCCATAAATGACAAAAAGCAGTGGACCCAGCACCAATCCTTGTGGCACACCACCGATCATAGGCCTCTAGTCCAAAAAGCAACTCTCCACCACCACCCTCCACATGGCTCACTGCTTCATCACCTTCCAGGATTTGAACTCAATTATTTTGAAAATAGGAAATCAATTTTAAAAAAAATACCATTAATTGGTCTCATAACACGTTGCAGCAACAGAATAGGGAATGAAATTTACATTACCTCATTGTCCTTCGGCAACGTTCGCCCTTCTTCCACATTTCCGATACGGATCACGATATCAGTGATGCGGAAATGGAAATCTGGATGATCAGCAATGTCATAAACACTAATATCTTCCTCGCATCCCAGCATCTGCAGTATTAAGTAAAGTTTGTTTGAGCAAATGGAACTCAAGTACCATTCCCCGAATCTCATTCTTGGCTTATAGTTCTTCCAGACTGCTCCACTGCTGTCTCAAAAAGTTACCAGCAGCAAACATCAATAAATGGCACTCCACTGCTTATCACAGACACAAGGAAGGATGACGTGTTACTGATACAGAAAGATGCTACTATACATCAATGCACACTGCTGGGCAGTGTCAGGACAGTTTTATCTACACAGTTCAACATTATCATATTGCTCGATCAATGTATAAATTTCAAGCCTCAAGATAACTGACCAACTTCAAGTCTTTCGCCTTGCCCCACAGGCCAAGTAGACTTCCTTTATTCCTCAGTGAAGACAGCACGTGGACAAAGCCAAAATACGAGTACAGTAAATACAGTGAAAAGTAGTAAGTAGAAGCAGTAGGCCTTTTGGCACTTCAAACCTATTCAACCATTCAACATTATGGCTGATCATCCAACTGAGTAGCCTGTTCCTGCTTTCTTCCCATACCTTTACCCCCTTTATCCCTAACTCCTCCTTGAAATCATTCAACGTAATGGCCTCAACCACTTTGTGGCAGAGAATTCCACAGGCTCACCACTCTCTGGGTGAAGAAATTTCTCATTTCAATCCTAAGTGGTCTACTCTGCATCCTTAAACTGTCAGCCCCTGGTTCTGGACTCCCCAGTCATCAAGAACACCTTTCCTGCATTGACCTCATCTCATCCTATTAGAATTTTATAGGTTTCTAGGATATCCCCACCTCATTCTTCTAAACTCCAGTGAACATAATCCTGACTGATTCAGTCTCCCTTCATACGTCAGCCCTGCCATGCTAAGAATCAGTTGGTAAACCTCTTCCATTTAGAGAACATCCTTCCTCAGATAAGGAAGCCAAAACTAATCAAATTCCAGGTGTGGTCTTCTCACAAAAATGGGTAAAGTATTTTACAATGCAATTTAAAGAATTTTATTTAGCCAATGGTCTACTTGAAAACACATCCTTTTTCTTTAGGGAAAGGAATACTGATTTTCCTTTCCCTCATTTCGAACCTGATGACACATTAAAACAATAGGAACAGAACAAATGAATCAAGAAATCTGCACTGTTTCTCAAGGTCCATAGGTCTCATTCTCAAATGGCAGTTTAAAGTCCCATTCTTGAGAGCTGAACTCCATTGTGCAATTATTCAGTTACATTCAGCAAGGTTCCTTTCAGGTTTCTAGTTTTTCTTTCCAGACTTAAGCTATCAATGGGCTATCCCTATTGACAACATCAATTAACATCATCCATTGTTCTAAAACTATCAACATTCACAAATCTTCATTAAGAGTTAATCAATAGAGGAAACTAGGAGTATTAGTAAACCAGAGGCCCAGGCTAATTAATGCTCATGGAACATTGGTTCAATTAATAAAACCTGAATTTGAAAGGTGGTCTCCATAATGGCAAGCTTAGATCATCTGGTTCACTAAAGCCCTTTGAAGAATATCCGCCAGTTTCTGCTCTGGTCAACAATGGTTGACTTTTAACTGCCCTCAAACAGCCAAGAAATCCGAGACAACAAGGTGCAGG